GTCCAACCTGGCCTTGAACACTGCCAGGGATGGGGCAGCCACAGCTTCTCTGGGCACCCTGTGCCAGCATCTCAGCACCCTCACAGGGAAGAACGTCTGCCTAATGTTTAATCTAAGTCTACCCTTTTGCAGGATTAAGGTGGCAGAGCCAAGCTTGACTTGAAAACTGGGTTTTCTGGATTGGGCCATGCCAGCCTGACCCTGGGGGTGGGGCTGCAGGAGTATGTAGGTAGTAGCAGGATGCCCTGGGCTCAGGGGTTCACACTAGGGCTGTGTGGGGCGATGCTGTGATGGCAACATTTCACTGGTGCACCACGTGCTGGACTCAGCTCTGTGGGTCTCAGCACCCATGCTCTTAGCCATGAATGGCTTTCTCCTGGGGATGGTGGTGTGGGCCCAGGACCATGACCACCTGAAGCATTGCCACACAGGCACTGATGCTGAACAATGAAGACTGCAGCCCAGGGATGAAATGGTATTGGGTAGAGTCAAAAATTCTCATAGTGATGTGCAAAGTAGGTCTGGTCCTTCTTGTTCAGCTGCTGACAAGCCTTTTCCACACTCTTTGTCATCCCGGGTGGGCCACAGCTGAACACCCCAATCTTCTGCACCTGCAAAAGGAGGGAGCCAAAGGGGTCAAACCAGCAACACCAGCTCTCCCCCATCCCAGCCTCTCCTTGGCCCCTTGCCCTTTGGCAGCTTTGGGTACAGATGCTGGCCAAGCAGTATGCCCCAGCCTAAGGAGGCTTTTGGGGAGGTTGTCACTTCCCCATGGAGCTGCTGGGGCCATGGAGGAAGGATGGGATCCCCCAGGGTCTCTGCCACCTCTGGGCAGTGGTTGCAGCCGGAGTCTTGCCATAGCAGGGGATGTTTGCTTAGTATGGGGCATTTCTGATTCTTGCAGCTCATCTTGGCTCCAAAAGGAAAGTGGGATTCATGCCCCTTCTGCCCTGCCCTTGGTGCTGATGCCACCAAGGTCTCCAGGTCCTCGGGGACAAGCTGGGACCATTCCTCCACAGTGGCCGGTGGGTGCCCCCCTCGTGTTCCCATTGGGTACTGACCTCATGGTGCACCTCCTGCAGTGAGCTGAAGAAGGGTACAAAGGGAGGGCGTCCAAAGTGGGTGATGGCACGAAGCCCTGTGAACAGGCTCCTGTTCAGCACCTTCTGGAAGTGCCGCTCGCAGATGTACTGGAAGAAAGATCAGTGCACTTCAGAGGGCCCGGCATGGCCCGGCAGCCTCCCTGGTAGGTACCCAGGCTCACCAGCATGGTAGTGCGCAGGTCGAACTTCTCAGCCAGCTGCGTGATGTAGATGTGCACGGAGACCAAGCTGTTCCTGTCTGCCTCTTCCACCTCACGGATGATGTCCGCCAGCCACTCAAACTGCCGCTGCGTGCGCGTCACCCAGATGAAGTAGATCTGTGGCACATGGAGATGAGGCTGAGAGTGGGGTCAGTACCCTGTGCATGCCCACATGGGGCACCTTCCCAGGTGGATCATGAAGGATCCCCCAAGGAGGCCAGCAGCAGGAAGAGGTATCTCGGGAGGGCTTATTGTGCTTCAGATGCTTCCTTTTACCTTCTTGCACTGCAGCTTGGAGCTTATGGATGACTTGAAGACCAGATCCTTGAGGATGGATGCAAAGGGTGTCACCCCGATGCCTCCTCCCACCAGCACTGAGACCTTGAACTTGTTCCACTCCTGGTGGCCCTCCCCAAAGGGTCCGTCCAGATAGAGCTGGAAGGGAACCAGCCCATCAGCAGAGCATCTCCTGCTTTCGCTTGCCCAGGTCTTGGCTGCCTTCAAGGCTGGAGAAGCATCAAGGCTGTGCACAACCCATTGCCACAGATGCTTTTGGGCTCAGATGTCCCTGGAGAAGAAGCGTGGGGCTCACCTTGGGCAGCTTGCCAATAAGGGCCAGGCTTTCAGGGGAGTAGAGCTCCCGCAGGCGGGTGGTCCAGGGTCCCACGGCCCGGATGTGCAGGCTCAGTGTGTCCTCATGCGGTGCTGAGGTCAGGGTGAAGGGGTGGTACTCGGTGGTGCCGAGGGCCACACAGGCGATGCGCACCCACTGCCCCGACTTGTAGTCAAAGTCCTGTGGCCGCTGGAACTGGAGGTGGGTGACACCTGGGAGGGAGAGGGGGGCCAGGGATGAGGACTTCTTTAAGGTGGAGACCTCAGAGCAGCCTTCCATGTCTGAAATGGGCTACAAGGATGCTGGAGAGAGACTCTTCATCAGGGACTGTAGCAATAGAACAAGGGGTGATGGGTTTAAACTTCAACAGGGGGAGTTCAGGTTGGATATAAGGAAGTTCTTCCCTGTGAGGGTGGTGAGGCACTGGCACAGGGTGCCCATAGAATAGTGGTAAATGCACCATCCCTGTATTCAAGAGATTTGGGTGACATGGTCTAATGGAATTCAAGAGATCTGTGCGACATGGTCTACTGGAAGGTGTCCCTGCCTGTGGCAGGGGGGTCCAACTGGATGAACTTTAAGGTCCCTTCCAACCCAAACCATTCTGTGATTCTATGATTCTGTGGCTGGGTAGTGGAGGTTCCTGAATTGCT